CCTTTTACCTTTTACATCATTCGATAAAGAATTTCACGGTGATCAGGTTTCTGGCCTTCCCAGTGCAGATTATCAGTAAAAAATACTCAAGAAACGTGAAAGATCTCTTTTTGCGAAAAACCACTAATATAACTTCTTTTCAAAAATGAAAAACTCGATGTGAAACGAAGAGAATACGGAAATAAGTGTATTTTCGAATATTTCGTATTTCCGAAATATCAATAAACAGGATTCTAAACGGTGATTTTGTCGAATATGCCAAACTTTAAGCTAAATTTTAAGCAGCAGCTTTTGAGGTGAAAATGTTTTCTTTTTAGCTAAAAGGTAGAACTTTCCTATCGCTACAAAATTCCGTATTCATTTTGATGTGGCAAGTTGTGTAGTTTTCACATTTTCCAAATATCGAACCAAATGGTTGTATGGTTGTTGCAATAATTGTTTAACATTCATATGTTTGGCCTGTTTATAGACATAATCTGTTAACACACAAACAAGAGGACCTATCCATTTGTTAAGACATTCTTTTATAACATTCACTTCTTTAAAATATTCGTCAAATTCTTGAGCTAATGTTGAGAATTTATTTTCCATTTTAGCGTCTAATTCTTTTTGTTGTACAATTATCGTTGACATAGAATCATGTAGTTTCTCAATAAAACTGGTCGTTGTTGTCGCTTGCGATTGTCCGTATAAGACATTATTTGAGTGGTTTGTCCATGGATTTGTCCCAAACTGTTGCTGAGGACGCACATTTGTATTATTGTTATTCTTCTTTTTTATCGTGTTAAACTTCGCTAAAAATCGCTTAGATTTTCGCAAAAACCGAATTTTTTAGAAATCATATGGGGGTCGATTTTGATCACGGCGAGTGATTACGTAGTCATACTTGTACACCCCTTGTACACATAACACGTAGTCATACTTGTACATATATACCCATACACATATCACATAGTTATATTTGCACAGGCCTAGAACCGTGAAAAATCCATATCCTAATCATGCACTTTCTGCAAATATTTATCTTAATTTTCTAATTACTGGGCTTTGGACAACAATAAACTAATCATTGCCGAAAGTGCAGTAATTAAGAAA